TACCAGATCGACACTGCGCCATCTTGCCACCAGCATCCATCTTCCCAGCTCCACCTCACCTATCGTCGTCCCGCGTCCACGAACTCGGCAGTTTCACCCCCAGCATCTAGCACCCAACTCCAATTACACCTCCACCGGGTGACCTCCAACCTCCACCAGTTCCGCACCCTGACCTCTCACATCCAGCATCCGGCATCAACGTTCACACCATCACCCCCCCCTATCGACTTTCAACCTCCACCAGGCCAGCACCACCACCTGCAACACCCAGCATCAAACATTCCACATACACCTTCACCGATCGACCTCCAACGCACACCAACGCAGCATTCCGACCTACAGCATCAAATCTCCTGGCTTCGCATGGGCGGGCTCCCACGCCCCTCCCAGGCCAGCCCAAAGGTGACAGCTCCACTATGGACCACCCTCCCCCTCCACTCCGACGGTAGCCCCTGCATCAACGCCTCCGCTCCGACGACAGCCCCTGCACCAACCTCAACACTGGCACCTACGCCGACACCAATACCAAAGCCCACCCCAGCACCGACGCCAACGACATCCGACGCTTGCTCTCCATCTCCGGCTTCACCTCCACCCGCCCCATTCCACAATACGGGCCGTGCAAGCGCACCTCCATCTCTCCGACTCCTGCCCCGACGCCTGCGCCGCCTCCAACTCTACCTTCGCGCGCGGGCTTTATGTCCAGTTTGAGCCCTCAACGGCCGCCGGGTCCAGCCCCCCACCAACTCCAGCTCACCAACGACTGAATTCAATGCACGGCCTGCGCGCAGGGATTTGAGCTGCTGGGCCCACGACGCACCAGTACCACTACCCGTGCCCGTCACCCTACAGCCTCCGCCCTGGCACGGGGACGGCTACTTGAAATACCTGATGTGGCTCCGACGGTCATCATGGGTCGCAGCACCAAGATGGACAGGAAGGTCTTGAAATTGGTGCCGGGGTGCGACTCCATGGTGGCGGCGGTGTGAGCCACTCTTCCGCACGCTCCCTCCTTGTTGGGGCCTTCTCCTGGTTTCTCCTTCCTTCTCCTCTTCCTTGTGGATTCCGATATCTGCTGCTCTGCGCAGGGGGGGCACGAATTGTCCGCTCCAGCCGGCGCCTGCGGTAGGCAGGGTTCTCAGTTCGTTTCTCTGCGTGTTTGCCAACGCGCTGGGCGAGGAAGAAAACGGCTTTCAAATGCATCCGCTTTCGCCCTGCAGGTTGACGGCGGGGGGGGGTTCGGCATGGAAAACGCAGAAATAAACAACACTTTGTTGTCTAGGTGCTTGCACTGCACGGAGGATAGCGTCAGTGGAAGTGCGCAGGAATATATATATATATATATACATATATACATATATATATATATATATATATATATACATATGCATATATACACATATGGAAATGGATATATGTATATACATATACATATTTTCATGTATATACACAACTCATATATATATATATATATACATAGCAATACACATATATATACACATATATATATATATATATATATATAGTTTGCCCCTCTCGTGTGGTTCCGATCCTCGGTCTTTTACATCTGTTCCTATAGATTGGGCTTCCCCTGGGGCACGAATCCCCCCAGGAGGCCCCAGGAGGCTCCAGAAGGTTCCAGGAAGCCCCAGGAGGCCACACGAGGCCCAAGGAGATTTCATGGGGGCCACAGGAAGCCCCAAGAGCCCCCAGGAGGTTCCAAGAGGCTCTAGGAGGCCGCAGGAAGCCCCCGGAAATTTCAGGCGGCCACAGGAGGCCCCACGCTCATGCGCAGAGACGCACTCGTACTATTGAGATTCATTAGCACTCCAATTCATTCATAGCTACGTTCGCTCCCACACCCTCAATGTTACAATCCGCTTGTTTTCGAAAGTTCGTGCGCCTAGACACACACGCGGCGGACAGGTTGGGAGCTCCACTCAATGAGTGTGTTTTACTATATCATTTGTCCCTCAAAACTTGCCTGTAGGAGGACATGGCCGGCCGAAGGCTACGACGAGGATGCGTCCGTTCAGAGCTTCCCAGAGCGCTCTCGCAGCGCTCCAGAATGCCCTGAGAAGGCTGCGGCGCCCGAGGCATCCCTCACATCCGGCATACCTCCTCTTGGCGGCGCCTCCAGTGCCGCCCCTGTCGCGCCCCGCGCGCTGGGGAGGGGGGCCCAGCGCGGATCCAAGAAGTCCGCGCGGACCGTCGAAAGTTTGGTTTATGTAGTTTGTCCTTCCTCTGTTGCGAAGGCCTTAGACTCGGTGCCGCCGACCCTGAAGACGGCGGCGATGAGGACGACGAGCATGTTGAACACATCTTGGGTTATCATGGGCGCCTCTTGAGGCCCTCTTGGGGCGCTTCTGGGAGTTTCAGAGGCGTTTTTGAGGCTATCTTGTAGGAGATCAATCAAAGAAGGGGGTTCCTTAATCAAGGCCCTCCTGATCGCCTCTTGGGGCGCTCTTGGAGCGCTGCTGGAGCGTTGTTGGGCTCGGACAGGGACGGCCGAGAATAAGGGACGAACGGCGACGGAAATGGCATTCTGACCAGGGATCCCACCCCCAGGACGCCCCCCCCCCCGCAGGGAAGGGATCGAAGGAAGGGGCTTCCCTTCGAGTGAATTCCGACGTTCATTATTGTCGTGTTGGCTCTCATGTTTGAAAAGGATGGCCCAGGGTAAGAGAGCCAACGGTTGGCGCGCTGGAGAAGGACACTCAGGAGAAAGCTTGTGAAGGCGACGGCGACGACGACGGCGACGACGACGACGAGGAGACGACGAATGAGACACCGACGAATTAGAGAGCTTCTCGGATTCTCGATTCATCCTTCCGGTAGGTTCGCGTCGTGTCGACCGGCGGCGACCCCGCCACAGGCGTTCAACGTTGAACGCCACCAGCGACCCAGAACCGGCCGATGTTGAACGATCTGACGTGCCGGAAACGGCCGATCGTCCAAGGTTGGGCGTTCCCCGCGGTGTCAAGAAACGACGCCGGGGTCGGCACGACACGACCCCGCGGTACCCGATTCCATCCTCATCTTGGCGTTAATGAGTCGGGCTTCTCCCTCTACAGGTGGACAACTCAAAAAGAATTAGAAAGTTAGTCTTTGGACGATGATCGGCCATTATTTGTTCGATTGTTGAACTATGTTGATGCATGTTCTTTTCCGTATTCATTCTTCGCGTAAAATCCGCCTGTATAGGGGGACATGCCCGACCTACTCCTGGCCGCGTCTTTTGCCTTCCTCCCGCCTCGCCGGCTGCGTTCGCCGCCCCGCGGCTCGGGCTCGCGGCCTGCGTTGCCATGGGACGCGGCGGGCGACGACGGGTGACGGGGAAGGGAGGGACGCAGGCCCCCATCGCGCTGTGAGAGAGCCACGACGGGAGGTGTTTCATTCTCTTAGGCCTCCCGGGGAGGTTAGGGGTCCACATGTGAACCCTACCCCTACCCCCCATGATTTCTGAGGGGGAGGGTGGGGTTCACTTCGTTCGGGAGCTCCCGTGCGAAGTGAACCCCACCCTCCCCCTCAGAAATCGTGGGGGTAGGGGTAGGGTTCACATGTGGCCCCCTAGAGGTACTCTTCGGGCCGCAGGCTGGCGCGGGCGGAACAAGAATGTAAATGTAAGGATCCCAGGCATGATCGCGTCGCAAAAAAACAAACGACATCCCGACCCTTTCCCCGGGACCGGTTTTTCGTCCTGAGTCGCTTTTTGACGGTCCCGAGGCCTGGTGAGGGCCCCCCAGGGCCGAAAATAGCCAAAAGCCTCCCGTCCCGATTTTGTTTTCACGACGCGATCATGTCTGGGATCCTTACGTGCTTGTCCCGACTGCGCCAGCCTGCGGCCGGCGCCGGCAGGCGTTTTTGTCACCGTTTTCGGCTTCATTGGGTCCCTCGCAGGCCCCGGGGACCTTCAAAAACCAATCACGGATGCAATGCTGGCCCGGGCGGGGAATTGGTCGGGACTTCCCGTTGACAGCATCATACAGTCGGGGCACTGAAGAAGGAACCCTTTTCGTTGGGGAGGGGCTCGGTGTTCCTTAGTTGTTTTGCAGTTCGCCTTTGGTTTTGCTTAGGGTTTCGATGTGAAATCGAAGTTCAACTTATGGGAAAAAGGGGCCTCGTTCCTTATTTTGGGTTCCTTAGGCCAACGCCCCGACGGTACTGGCCCAGGCAGGGAATTGGTCGGGACTTCCCGTTGACAACCTCATGCCGTCGGGGATCTGGGTCTGCGTGTGGCCGGTACCTCGGACCTTCTTCTCAAGGCCGTGCCCGGCCGGGCCCAGGCCTCCCGCGGCCTGGAATACGCAGCCCCTCACGTCCTCTCGGCGGCGCCCGGGGCAGGTCTGGACGATCCGAGCGGCTCTGTCCTCGCCTTCCCCTTTCGGGTCGGGCGAAAGAGGGGGTTTGGGAAAGGGGGGGTTATGAAATCTGCTGCATGTAGCTGGTTTCGGCCCCACCGAGGGGCCCGTTCCTCGATGCGTAGCCGCCTCCGGCGCCGGGAGGCGCCGGGAAAGTCAGCTGCGTGAGCTGATTCTCAAACCCCCCCTTTGCTATCCCCCCCATTTCGCCCGACCCGACCCTTGGCATCGCTCGGACGTGTGCGTGTTTTTCTCGGCGGGTACCATCGAGGAGCATCGTGGATCCTCTTGCGGAAAGAGTAGACGCAGGACGCCGAACACTGCACGGGCAGTGGACGCCCGAGCGATGGCAAGGCGCCCTGTTTCTTCCCCTCCCTGTGTGCCCTCACTTGCCTCGGCCTCCCTGCAGGGCTCGTTTCGATCCCTCCGACTCGATTCGATTCGATTTCGATGGATTCCGACTCCGACTCGATTCGGCTTCAGACTCCGACTTGAAGTCCGATTTCTCAATGGGGCCCTACTACTCTGCCGAGATTCGGCTCCTCCCGACTTGGCTGCCGATTTCCGCCGAGCCGATTGAGTTCGATCGCCGCTTCGACTCGTCGAGTCGACTCTGGGCTCTCCCGCCCCCGTGGCCAGACCCACTGCGCCGCCGGCTTCTTCCTGCAGCCCGACGGGGTCTGCGACGAGTGCTTCACGGGCTCCACGCGCCGCCGGCGGGCCCTCGAGTGCTCCGCGTGTCCCACAGGCGAGCGCCCCGCCGGGCCCACGGGGGCCAGTGTACCCTCAGTCAGCGGCAGCGTCAGGGGGGGGGCTCGGCTTACCTTCGGCCATGATACCTTCAGTCAGCGGCAGCGTCAGGGAGGGGCTCGGCTTAGGCTCGGCCATGATGCCCTCGGTCAGCGGCAGCGTCAGGGGGGGGGGGCTCGGCTTAGGCTCGGCCATGATGCTACGGGAGGTCCGCCGAGGAGGCCGACCTGAGATCAGGATTGGCGAGCGGGAATGATGTCAAACTCCATGGGAAAACACAGTAGAGCTCTGACGAATGCTCAAATCTCGAGAACGTGATTTTCGGCCTGCCAAAACCTGCGGAGCATCCTCCGCAGGAGACTCGCACCCCAGGCCGAGCCGCTCGGCCATGATGCCCTAGGTCAGCGGCAGCGTCAGGGGGGGGGCTCGGCCAAGCCTCGGCCATGATGCTACGGGAGGTCCGCCGAGGAGGCCGACCTGAGATCAAGATTGGCGAGCGGGAGTGATGTCAAACTCCCTGGGAAAAAAACAGTAGAGCTCTGACGAATGCTCAAGTTTCGAGAACATCATTTTCGGCCTGCCAAAACCTGCGGAGCATCCTCCGCAGGATCGGGGGAGCGTAAGACCCGGGTTTGCCAGGACTCGGGTTCGCCATCGTTTTTTGACGACCGCGCCTCGGATTCTGACGAGGAGGAGTTTCGTGGGATGTCTGCAGCGGGAGGCCTCGTCAAAATGCAGGCTCGGCCTCGTCATTTTTTTGACGACCTCGTCGGGGCTTTCCGAGTCCACTGTACCCAGGTCTTACGTCCCCCTGACAGGAGACTCGCACCCCAGGCCGAGCCGCTCGGCCACCTCCGGGGGGGGCCGCGTCGACCCCCGGCCGCCCGCTCCTCGCCGACAGGGAGGCTCGCTGGCCCGCCCCCCGCCCAGGGCCGTGCGTGAGTCGCCCTCGGGGGCCCGGCGCCGATCGGTCCATCGGCGAGGCATCAAGCCCTCCGCCTCCTCCTCCTCCTCCTCCTCCTCCTCAGCCCTCCTCCTCCTCCTCCTCTCCTCCTCCTCCTCCTCCTCCTCCTCCTCCTCCTCCGCCTCCTCCTCCTCCTCCGCCTTCTCCTCCTCCTCCTCCTCCTGCTCCTCCTCCTCTCCTCCTCCTCCTCCTCCTCCTCCTCACGTGCGAGCCCTGCCCCGGCCCCCACGATTTCTGAGGGGGAGGGCGGGGTTCACCGAGCTCCCGAACGAGGTGAACCCCGCCCTCCCCCTCAGAATTCGTGGGGGGCAGGGGCAGGGTTGGCATGTGGCCCCCTCGCTCGATGGTTCTAGGGAGGCAACATCAAACCTGTAAAGCGTACCCACCCAAAGTGAGCCAGTAAACCGTACCCACGTGTGGAGTGTCGCCCATTGATACATCATATGTAGAGCGACTGATTGCTTACCTGCGTTTCATCATCTTTGTGGGTCGACGGGAGCTCTAGTTGTCCGTCCATCTGGCTTTTCGTTGGGGGGTGGTGGGCTTCCCCTTCCTTTTGAAGAGAAGCGGCTGACAGAGGGCGGAAGTCGGACATCCTACAACACTATCGCTCGACAGTTCCTATCGACACTCTTGGAATCCAGCCATGGCTTGGACGCTAGCTGTGTGCCCACGTATCCATATCGCGCGCGGCTGTGAGTGCAACGCGTACCTTCTTTTTCATCCTCTCTCCGTCTCTGCATCCCTCCGCCCTTCAGTCCCTCCCTCCCTCCCTCCGTCAGCCCTCCCTCCTTCCCCCTTCCCCTCGCTTCTTTCTCATCCCCCGCCCCCCTCTCCTCACTCGCCCCTCTTTCTCCTGTCTCCTCCCTCCCTCCCTCTTCCTTCCTCCTTCCTCCTTCCGCACTCCCTGTTCCCCCCTCCTCTCTCCTTGCATCATTCTGTTCTCACTGATATCCCTCTCCTCCCGTCCCTCTCCCCCTTCCGTTCCCTTCGCCATTTCTCCCTCTTCCTCGTCCCCTCTTCCGTCCTCCCTCCGTCCTTCCAGAGTCCGACTCCGCCCCTCACCCCCCCCCATTCTTCGTCCCTGGGTGTCTGGGGCTGTGTCTCTGGAGCTGCTTCGGGGGCCCGCGTCCTGGCATGCTTAGGGGGCTCGGGGTCCTCCTCGGGGTCCGCGTGACCTGGAGGCAGGGCCCCTGCGGAAGGGGGCCTGAATTCCCCTCCGTGCGGAACAGTGTTCCGCGCTCGACGGAACACTGTTCCGGGGCGCTTGTGTTGGAGGCCGGACAGGCCAGGAAAGCGTACCCACGACCCTGGGCAGCGAGCAGACCAGTAAAGCGTACCCAGGGGACGCTATTTCTCTGGGCGGGGAACAGACCAGTAAAGCGTACCCACCCGGGCCTCGGCTCGCTGAAAGGACAGTTACAGGGATCCCGCCCCCCATGGGCGGCGATCGAGCCAGGAAATCGTACCCACCCCAGTCTGGGCGGGGAACAGACCAGGAAAGCGTACCCACCAGGGTCTCGGCGGCGAACAGACCAGCAAAGCGTACCCCCCAAACCAGCCGGCGGGCAAGTATTCCGCGAGTCCAGGAACACTGTTCCGGGACTCGCGGGGACGGGGTCCGCGGCGCGGGAGGGGCTCTGGGACGTGGCCCCAGGGAAGCAGGCACTCGCCTGGAGCCCTGTGGGGTTCTCTTCCACCGAGGCAACGGCCCTCGGGCTCCAGGGGACGAACCTGTGGGAGGGGCGAGGAGGCCTTCAGGAATCCCCCGAAGGCGCCGTAGGAGACCGCAGGGCCACCAGGTCGGCCCAAGACCCGATGGCATTGCTTTTGTCTTGGGGCTCCAGGACCAGGTGCGGTCCACGACCACGTCGTGGGGGCCGAAAACCAACTCTGCCCCCGAGCCGTCTTCGAGACCCAAGGTGCTCGACGAAACTGGCGTGGAGCGCGTGCTCACGGACGAGGGCACCGCCAAGGCTGGCAGGCACATGCGGATCGGTTCAGCATCGTTGTGAAGACGTCGAAGAATAATATAATATATTGGTTCGCTTCCCAATGTGTTTGGTGTCAGCCGCTGGTGCATTGAGCAAAAATGCCCCCTTCGCGCGCGTGTTTGCCCCTTTGCGCGTTGGGGTTGCGCGGGTGTCAGAAAACGTCAACAGAAGTGCACTTGTGCTTGCGCAGTGTAATATTTCCGAGTGAAACTCACACGCGTGTTCTAGCGTTTACAAGTTGGCACGCACGCTGCAAAGAATATGTGCCGCGTGTTTCGGTGGCCCTTGGGGCCGCGCCACGGGGTTGAGCGAATTGACATAGCCCCCCTGCGTGACTGGCGACCGTGCGTGAGTAGGTCCATGAAACGGTACGCACAGAATACCGCGCGGAATAGCATTCCAAAAAATGCGGAACACCTTCCCGAACTGTGGAAGGTGGGTACGCTTTGCGGTGGGTACGCTTTACAGGTCCCTTGCCCCCGCCCAAGGTTCCCCCCATGAGCCGGTCCCCCCACTAACGTTCCCCGTCAGGGGGGCCGGAACCTCGAGCCACTGGGCGGCCGCGCCTCCAAGAGCTCCGACCATATCTGGTTTTCAATCTGGGTATTCGTTTTGTTGATTTTGGCATCTCGGGCATGCTAGGCATTTTATGTCGGGACTACAAAGTGCGCATCCAAAACGCAAAACTATCCCTTTGGAGAAAAACCCTGGCTTCGGATTGAAACTGCGTCGGGAATGCACACCGAATGATGCGAACAGGCAGGGCGGAACTCGCCGCCTCAGAAAAGCAATCAGGGCGGAGATCTCCCAAAAAAACGCGGCGTACGCAGCGACGGCGAAGTAGGGCTGAAGTCGGCATCCAAGGAGCTTGAATAGTATATAGGGCGGGGATTGCAGCCCTGCTTGCGACAGTCGTCCAAAGTACGGGGGTCCGGAGCCAGGAGAGGGTCGGGACCTCTGAGGTCGGAGGCCTTGGGGAGAGCAGGCCAGATCGGAGGTCTTCCTCCTCCTCCTCCTCCTCCTCCTCCTCCTCCTCCTCCTCCTCCTCCTCTTCCTCCTCCTGCTCCTCCTCCTCCTCCCTCTCCTCTCCTCCTCCTCTCCTCCTCCTCCTCCTCCTCCTCCTCCTCCTCCTCCTCCTCCCTCCTCCTCCTCCCTCCTCCTCCTCCTCCTCCTCCTCCTCCTCCTCCTCCTCCTCCTCCTCCTCCTCCTCCTCCTCCTCCTCCTCCTCCTCCTCCTCCTCCTCCTCCTCCTCCCCCTCCCCCTCCCCCTCCCCTCCCCCTCCTCGCCCTCCCCTCCTCGGGTTGCCTGCGGCCCCGGGGGAAACCGTCCACCCCATCGTCGTGACGCATGTGGGCTCTGGCCGCAGCGACGAGGGCCACGCCGCGCTGGGCAGTTCGGAGGCAGGCAGCGGTGGATGCCCAACGTCGTTCGGCCCTCTCTGGGCCCCAGGGCCGTCCGAGAGCGGCTCAGCACGAGGAGCCGCTTCTCGCAAGCTCTCGCACCTGGCACCCAGGCCTGTGCGGCCTCCAGGCATCTCGGGGTGGTGCTGTGGGCGCAGGTTGTTGGCTGGGGATCCCCGCTCAAACGGGAGTGCCCCCTCAGGGGTCCGACAGGTCGCATCCATATTTCTAGCGCCTTCATCGCCTTGCCCTTCCCCATCCCGCCTCCCTGTGGGTTGGACGGCGCGTTGTTCTTTCATCAGCGAGACCTCGGTGGGCCCGCGCTGCGAGTCAAGATCACGACCTTGGGGGTCTGGGCCTCGAACTCGAGGCCTGATTGCATGAGCCATCGCCTTGGATGAGTCGGCCCGAAGACGATCATCGATCGAGTGCTCCTCCCCTCCCCTCGTCCACCTCGGCCCTGGAGCCGGCTGGGGGGCTGAGTTGGCCCAGCACTGGTTCTGGCGAGCAGGAAGGGTGGGGGCGAGGTTCGAGGGCCTGGGTTCGGGAAGGTTTGTTGCCCTTGTCTGCATCCGGGGGCCGTTTTTCGGGGCGAGGAGGAGGAGGAGGAGGAGGAGGAGGAAACGGATCTGGGGTAACATGCACCAAATGGACAGATTTTGAGCGGGCTTGCCTTCCCCCCCCCCCTCACTCTTCACCGATTTTCTCGGGGCCCGACTGGCCCAGTCACCTTGGCCGCGGCCCATCCTGGTCCGCCTCGATCCCGTCCCCTTCGTTCTCAACGTTGCAGCCCACGCCTCTGATACTTTGGGGGCGGTGCCGCGCAATACGTGCACGCTCAGTTACCGAAGAACATCGCCGCGGATCGGCGTTGCATCGTCTTCGCCGCCGCTGTCGTCCTCCTCCGAAGTCTTCTATCCTGCCACCGGTGCTCCTCCCAGGGTGTGCCCTCTACAAGCGAGGGTACCAACGCGAACCGAGAAGTGGCAACGCCCCCCCCCCACGGTGCCACAAACAAGGGGTGGGCATCGGCATCGGTATCGGTATGCTCCCCCCCCCCGGGAAGTGGAACGCAGGTCGCTGGAAGAGGAGCCTGACGTCGCGGCTGGGGAATACAGACCCAGACATGCCACGTCCTGATTTTTTCAGGGCGGCGTCCCTGGAAGTCCCGACCCCTTCCCTGGGACTGGATCCTCGTCCCGGGCCGTGTTTGGGCGGCCCCGAGGCCCGGCGAGGGCCCCCCGGGGCCGAGGATAGCCAAAGACCTCCCGTCCTGATTTTTTTTACGACGCGATCATGTCTGGGTCGCGGCTGGGTCGCGATCATGTCTGGGTTATGACCCGACCTAACGCCCTGGCGTTAGGTCGGTCATGTCCCCCTAGAGGCAGATCCCCAAACACAAAACCGATTCTAAAAGACTACAAACAAACACATTCAATAACATAACCTATTCAAAAACCACAACATGAAAACCAACAAAAACAACACATGTGCAAAAATATCGATAGCCAAAAACAGAAACTTCAAACTTCTTCAAACAAAGAAGAAATGTCGTCCCCAGGCAATATTTGTTTAAATCATTTTGGAATCTATTCCTCCTGTGGAGGGACATGCCCGACTCAACCCTGGCGTCGTGCCAAGGAGAGGAGGAAGAGCAATCGAGCCCGTGGCGCTCCGCAGGAACGTTCGACGCCGGGCGCTACGACGACTGCCTGTGCGGGCTCTTCACCGCCCAGGACCACCAGGCGACCGCCAAGCAGCTTCTTCCTGTCCCTCCCAGGGCCCCACGCTCGACAGCGATCGATTGCAGCAGCGATTTGCGCAACGGGCTCGTGGAAGGAGTGGCATTGCGCGAGGAGTTGTTGGTGGCTCTCCCTCGCCACTGCTGGTATCCTGGAGCCTCTGAGTCGCGCCGACCCAGAGCGGGGCGCGGCAACAAGGTTGAGGTTAAGGTTGTTGAGGTTTGCAGAGCTCGTTGTTTGCCTATTATGTTCGTTGTTGCTGTCGCTCCTGCTTCGTCTTTCTCTTCGTCTCCTCACCATTCTCCCTCCACTTCTCTTCCTCCTACTCATTCCCGCCTCCGCCCCCTGTCTGAGGCTGGGGCTATACATGTACACATGTGAATTTATAATGTAAGCATATACTTATAACACATATACGCTACACGCACATATATACACATGCACATCGATCCACCACCTGGGGATCCGACGTCCCAGGATCCCAGTGGGGCAGCCAATATGGATGTCTGTGGCCCCCCGTGGGTCCGAAACTATCCATCTCCACCTCTTCCTGGGGCCCTGGCACTTTGGGTCCCAAGGCGATGCAGGTGTGCATGCTCCAGCGTCGGATTGCCCCTCCTCCCCGCCTTCCCCCTGCCCCCTCCCCTCATCATCAGCGGCGCCTTCAGGCAGAGGCCGCTGTGTGTGTGTGTTGTGTGTGTTGTGTGAGGCTGCTGTTGTGGTTGCGCGTCTGCGTGCCCGTGTCCTTGTGCCGCGCACGCCGGCAGAAGACGGGCGAGGAGGGCGAGTTGTGCACGGTGTGTACGAGAGGGGATCAGTCCTCCTCCTCCTCCTCCTCCTCCTCCTCCTCCTCCTCCTCCTCCTCCTCCTGTGTGTAGCCAGGGCGAACGAGTCAGCGCGCCCCGCCCACTGCCCATTCCCGCCGAAATTCCCATGATGGAAGGGTCGATTGGGCGCAGCGTGCCATTGGCAGCGGGACGCGTTCCCACCCGGCGAACGGAAGGCGCTCGCGCGCGGTCTTGCTTCCAGCGATCTGGCAAGGGGATACGTGGGCCGCGCACGGGCAGGTCGGACCTTCAGAATTTTGTGCGGCGTTGCGGCGAAACTACAATGCTGCCTTCTCGTGGGCGTCCAAATGTTCGATGAGCGCGGCTCAGACGAATCATGTGTGCCGTGCCGCGACACCACTACTTTCACGCACAACCTGCGCAGCGCTTGGGCGAGGACAGCATGTCGCCCGCTCTGACGCGGCCCCGCTGCCCCTTCCGCTGGCATACAAGTCGGCGAACGAACATGCGGGACGGGAAAATGACCACAGCCACTGCTTCTTGTTTGCGCCGCCTTCCAGCCGGCCGAAAAAGAAGCGGTGGTTGTGGTCATTTCCCTGGTGCCAAGCTTAACGAAAATGACCACAACCACTGCTTAGTTTCTGCTGGCTGGAAGGCGGCAACAAAAGAAAAGCAGTGGCTGTGGTCGTTTTCACGTCCCGTAGAACATGCGCCGCGCCCGCGCGGCAACGCTTCTTCCGAGGAGGAGGAGGAGGAGGAGGAGGAGGAGGAGGAGCAGGAGGAGGAGGAGGAGGAGGAGGAGGAGGAGAGGGCGACAAGTCGCCCGACCGCGAGCGGCCCCACCCCTAACGAAGTGGCGAGCGAAACAGGCGTGCCAGGCCCAAGCGGGAGGTCAACTATCAGGGCCGGAACCGAGCGCGGGGCCGATGCAAGTGAGGGGCCGTTCGCCCTCTCGCGCCGGATGTGCGCCCCCGTCCGGCTCCCGCAGCGCAGCTTGCAGCATTGACGTCACCACGCCAGTGTTGAAAGTTGTACTGATATGAGGAAGGGTAGGGCGGACGGTTCCCTACTGAAGGGCAATCGGCCAGCGGAGGGGCAGAGTGGGTATGTATATATATATATATATATATATATATATATCAGCACGTCATGTTGTTGAGATCGGCAGCTGCGTCAGGAGGAGAGGCAGTTGGTAGCGAGGGCGGGAGGGATGTGTTCGAAGGAGCCAGGTGGGAGCTAGAAGTGGTGTCAAGCCAGCCAGCTCCAGCGAGCCAGCGGGCCCTGCTCACCCCCGCAACAAGGGAACCCGCCTCGGCATAGCTGGAAAGTGCGACTGGCGTCAGCTCCCCCCCTTTGGCGAGTGCGAAGCCCACCCAATCGCCCGCGCGACCCCGTTCGGCATGCTGCGGCGAGGCAGAACCGTCTCAGACCCGTCCGAAGCAAGGCGCGCGCGGTCGCCGCGCCGCAGCGGTGCTCCGATCGCTGGCGCTCGCCACGGCGGCGATGCGCGGTTGGGACGCTGAAAATTGTGGACCGATTTGGGCCCAGGGGGCTCGGATGCAACTCCTGGGAGGTCAACTTCTGATTTCGACCTGGTCTGAAATCTGGCTCAATGCGGCCTGATGCCGCTTCATCCCGCTCAATCCGGCGAACTCCCGCTCAGTCCGAGGCCCACTCCGGCGCAACAGCCCCCCAATGGGGCCTGATCCTCCGTAATCCTTCCGACGAAGACCTCCCAGCAGTTGCCTCCTAGAGGGGGAGGGGCATGTTTTTCGCGTTTCTCCTCGGGCCTAGCCGCTGAATCCTCCGTAGTCCTTCCGACGAAGACCTCGCAGCAGTTGCCTCCCAAAGGGGGGGGGCCATGATTTCCGCGCCGCTCCGTGGATCTGGCCGCTCGTGGCCGAGGCTCGCCGTGGCGGGAGGGGGGCCCTCTCGGGGCTCCGTGCGTGGAGCGCTCCTTCGGGGTGCCTTGGCTCCTGGGCCCGGAATCTGTACAGATCCAGCGTCTGGGGAACCCATCGACTACACGTAAGAGTGGCCATTCGCCGGAGTGACCTTTGGGTGCGGGCCCAATCGGGCCCCCCGATCGCCGAGCGTGATGCGGTGGTAGCGTCTGGCGCGCTCGTGCTTGGTCCCCCCCGCGGCCCCCACAAGGCCGCGCACCAAAGGTCACTCTTACCCAGGGTCACTCTTGCGTGCAGTCGAACCCAGACGTGATCGCGTAGTGAAACACATCAGGACGGGAGGTGTTTGGCCATTCTCGGCCCCGGGGGGCCCTCACCGCCGGGCCTCGGGACCGTCGAAAAATTAGTCAGGACGCAAAGCCGGTCTCGGGGAAAGGGTCGGGACTTCAGGGGCGCCGTCTTGAAAAAACCAGGACGTCGCATGTCTGGGAACCGATGTCCCAGGGCCAGCGACGGATATATCCCAGCCCCTCTCCTGGAGCCCCCAGAAAATTTCTAGACACCGCCTCCTGGGACGTCGACACGGATTCGACGCAGAAGCGTGGATTCAACGGGGATCCGATGCGAAGTCCGACGCGATCAGACAAACGAGGTCCCCCGAAGATGCAGCATAAGCATCGGTTTCCCAGGCGACGGACATCTGTGCACGTACGCCTGTTGCGGAACCAGGATCATTGCTTCCAGATTCGCAACCGCCACCTCGTACAGTATGCGAGAGAGTGTTTTCGTTACCCTCTGGGCCATAACGCGCGTAATGCTCCCTCCCCCCCCCCCTCCCCCCCCCCGCAACGTAAGGATCCTCCCCTCAGCGACACTGCCGCAGTGTCTCCGGCACCACAGTCTTGGGGGGGAGGGGCGCTGCGTTATGCCCCCTCCTTCCCCCCCCCCCCGCCTCCCCTGCCCATAACGCCCATTGTGGCCGCGAATTAACAGTAGCGCACTACAATGGACATTCTTTGGGGCAGGCTCACTATAGTGTGGGGCGGTCATCCGGCAGATGTGCAGTACGTGCTCCGGGCACGGGCCCGCACGCACGAGGGGCGAAAGGGAACCAACTAGACGCGCCCCGCAGGGGGGTGTGGAGGGGGAAGGGGGGGCAGGGGGAGCGGGGAGGGGGAGGTAGAGGGGGATGGGGAAAGGGGAGGGGAAATAGGGATGCGTTATTATAATAATAAATAGAAAAAACATTAGTTGATTGGGTGGGGGGGGGGGAATTTATAAAATAATACATGTATGGGGGAGGGGGGGGGGGGGGAAAAAAAATTTAAGAAGGGGGGGGGAAATGAGAGATGGGGAGTACTGTCAGAGTGAAGAGAGTGAAGGGGCCGAACAGTCATTCATTGTCGCTGGGTGCGTGGCTGAAATGAGAATCCATGGTGAGGATTCTGCTTGATGCGTTTTTGTTGTTGCTGTTGTTAATGTTAATGTTAATGTTGATGTTATTGCTGTTGATGTTCTTGTTGTTGTTTGTTGTCGTCGTCCCCCCCGCGACCCACCCGCGACCCACCCCGCGACCCACCCCGCGACCCACCCCGCGACCCACCGCAACCCAACCCGCGACCAACCCGCGACCCACCCCGCGACCAACCCGCGACCCACCCGTGACCCACCCGAGACCCACCCCGTGACTCGCCCGCGATCCACCCCGCGACCCATCCGCGACCCATCCGCGACCCACTTGCGACTTATTTGCGACCCACCCGCGACCCATCCCGCGACCCACCCGCGTGCGACCCACCCGCGACCCACCCACGACCGATCCACATTAGCTCGAAGAAAAGATCGGCGCCTGCGGCGGGCTCGTTGTATAATTTGTGAAACTTTGGCGCCCGCGGCGGGCTTCTCCAGAGTCTCGCAGACTGCCGACGTCCCCACCGCCCCCTCGCTCTTATCCACAACTGCTGGGCGCTACAAATTTTGATCGGTCGTTGCGGCTAGTATTCGCTTATGTGGCCAACCTGGGCTCGGCGCGCATGTCGCGTATGATAGGCCGCAAGTACTCAGTCTCTGCTGAATTATACTCAATCAAGTTGTGTTCGGCTCTGCCCGGTTCTGTGCACATCTGTTTGTGTCTGTTCTGCTCTCGACGGGGCGGCATGGCGTCGTGACGCCTGTCGCGTTTGAGATGTCGTCTAATCGGTCGTTGCCGCGTGTGTTTTCTCCTGTGGCCAGGCGCGGATGCTGCGTCTGACAGTGCGCCCTTTATCTGTCGCTGCTGTATTCAACAACATTCAATTATGTTGTGCTCGAT